CTACGTATGCGGATGTGTCCGATAACCATGAAATGTATCCGCCTCCTGTAAACAAAAAGAGGAAGAATTATATTCTTCATGCATATCTTCTATGTAATCTATATAGAATCTACATTAGTCAATTCATGTTTGTACAAAAAAAGAAAGTTATCGTTTTGTACTTTAGATGTATTATAATATTATACTTGCCAAATGGAATAAAGAGTTGAATGATATCCATGTGTTTCCACTCTTTGGGGAATGTAAGGTGAAACACGTGTTCTCTGCTAGGATTTGCTAAAAAAAGATATATCATTAAATGAAAGTAATGCTTTCCAATGATATTGTAATATCATTGGAATTTTTCAGTGACACTAAATATACTTACGATCTTTTCCTACCAAATTTATATATGGAAAGTCTTTCAGTCTTGGTACAGGAATTCTACACAAAAAAAATGACTACAATAATAAAATAATTATAATTATATATAAATAAAATAAAAAGGTAAAAAATATAAATTTTATAAGAATGTAAAATATTATTTTTTATTGATATAAAATATACTTACTTGTTAAGAAAAGGATAAAGTAACGGTGAATTCGCTAATACCGTTGCATTTTCAATGTGTTGTAATTTGCCTGAAATAAGCAACAATCCAATATGTACTTATTGGCAAAAATTATAAAATAATTAATCATGAATTTAATTTATCCATCAATGTACATAATTAATCAACATAAAAAATATCGAAGAAACATTTACTCTATCAAAATATATATTTTTATTATAATTATTTTCAAAATGAATAACAATATCGACAATAATACTATCTATCATTATATTTGTACCTGATATATTGTTACTGACCAAGATAATTGGATAATGCAATAAAGCATAAACCAGTGATGTACGCATCATATCCTGCCTCATGATATTTTTCTTTTGACATCGAATAACTTCGTCCTTCTACATTCTCGATATCGGGAATGGAAAAAGGAGGCTTGCTCACAGTGTCTATTAATAAGTTCAAGTTCGACGACCCCACAAGTTCTTTAAAATGTTGTGATTGACAGATGACTTTTGTATCTAACAAACTTAGATTAAAAAAAAGAGATAAATTTTTACAACAATTTTAATTTCTAAATATTTTCAAGCAAGTAATATTCAAAGAAAATTCTAATTTTATAAACATAAATATTCATATAGCAGGTTCCGGATTTGATTCTAAACTTCATCCCATATATGATCATTTTTAGAGAGATTCATTAAAGAATTAAAAAGTTTTGAATAAAAAGATATAAAATAATTATATTTAAAATGAAACAATGAATTAAATATTTGCGCCTTACTTAGGGAACAAACCATGAAGCAAGGTCTTGAATTCTAAATAGTCCTTTGGCAAAGATGTAAAAAATTGATGTACAATATGACACAGATCTAACAGCATGTTATGACCTACTATTATTTTTTCCTGAAATAAGAAAATGAAAAATAATTATACATAAACCAAAAAATTATATAAATGAAGCAATATTTTGTCTCTTTATTAAAAAAAATATTAAAAAATGTTGCTTATAAAAAGTCTAAATTTAAAAAAAATGATGACAAACTCATTGTGAGTTTCACTATATTTGCCCATTAAAGTATTAATGTACAATTAAAAACTTTACTTACAGATTCTACAATTTTTTTCAGCAGATTGCTGAGTCCTACAGCTTGTTTAACTTCTAGTTTTTCCTTTTCTTGCTTCTGATTTTCCCTTTCTTCCTCTTCCTCTTTGGTACCTGCCCTTCGCACCAAAAGACATTGCCAGCCATTCTCCATTTTGTTTTCAATTATTACTTTGTTAGGCCATCTGATCCGTGCCTCCTGATATACCAGTCTTCTCATAAAACCATTACAGTGGTCTATCGTCAACTCTTTTGCATCTGAGGCAAGAAAATTCTCTATTCTAGAACTGAAATTTATATACACTATAGATTTTCTGATATACAGTCAAAATTTTTAGACACCTCTCAAGTCTCTTTGAGCTTTTCTCGTAACTTTATCTTGCTAAATTAAAGAAAGTGGTAAACCAAAAAGATGCAGATTTACCATATTTCTTCTATTTGAGGTTTATCAGTATCCGTTATTGGAATTATGTAGCTCTCCTCTTTCATTTTCCGTTTCTCCTCCAAGCGTTTGACAAGTTTCTCCTCGTCACTGGCAGTGAGATAAGGTATGCCATGCTTGAATAGCTTATTGAAGTCAAAATCTTTATTTGCCAGAAATATTAAAGACGACGACTGGCACATGAATCTAGTGTCTGTAACCTGGCGATTTATCGGTTTAGGAAACACATAGAAGTTATAAGAACGCTGTGAATATCTGGAACAGACAAGCCCTATCATTTTTTCCATTTATGTAATTTCACTACTTTCGAAAATGCTTGTTCAATTAAATTAGTAATGTCCATTTCTACTAATGTAGATTAATTTTAATCTTAGTTTAATTTTCTTTCTATCTTCTAGTTCTAAGAATTAGAAAAGGATAGAATAAATTAAATCAAGATTAAAGTTAATGGTACAAATATGGCATAAGACAGAATTAATATCTCACTTGTGCGTATCTGAGTGGTATGTGAAGACGGATAGACCAAACTGCATCAGCAGAAAGTTCATCGATCCCGCTCGGATCTTGGAATAATACTGAGCCGGCGTATCAAATTGGCCTCCATCTGGACCAACAATAAGACCGGTGAACTCGCCGTCAATACTAAGAAATGTAGCGTCTTTTATGATGCTATCCAATTCACTCAGCACATCCTGAAAGTCTAATCAAGATCATATTAAATTACACAAAGTTCAACGATTAGTATCACCTGTACTATCTAAACTCACTTGAGCTCGTCACCTCCATTGTTTTCTAATTGTTACCCTCGAGTCCACTCGCGTCGCTTACGCGGATCAACACGGACGTTTAATGTACACACATGATCACGATGACGTGGGAACAGACGCAGTAAACTGCCCGCGTTGAACAGAATCAGATGGAATCCGTTACTGGCGCCTCTATGTGTACAAAATCTGTACATTGAACTACGTAAGGTAGCTACGGATATTTCCGGCGGGTAACACATCTGTACGATCACATATCATACATCACATGAGTGCTAGCAGAGAGAAACCTGAGAGAGGCCATGCCAGCCTTCATTCCTATTACTGTCGAAATTATCCGTACATACACTACCTCCAATACATCCACTTTCAGTTTGGGAACTACCTGACTAGTTACATTTTCTGTCGATAAAATCGTATGATCGAAAATAGATGTAGTTCGTGTCGGTACTAAATTCTCAGGGGATCGATTCTGTATCTTGAAATGAGATGAAAATTATAAAAATGAGCGAATTTACTAGAATACTAATTATTTCATTGGTCAACACATAGTAAATTTGCTCGCTTTTGTAATTTTCACCTTGAGGTCGATTCTATATCTTCAAACAAGATAAAAATTACAAAAGCGATCAAATTTAAAGATACAGACTCGATCCCCAAGATAGAAGCGTGCCGACTAGAGAGCCTCACCATAAACTATATTATTAAAGATCGATATCTTTACGGGAATTCGCGTCCTTGAGAATATTGAAATGATTAAGAATTAAAAACTGATAATATTGATTAAATTAATTTTATGATTTATTAGTTTAGTAGACGTATTTATGCATTTAGAACTCAATAGTACTCGATTTTTCTTTAAATCTCTATAATTTCAATGTTATCGTCAAAGTTTGATTATCAACAGAGATGATTCTCTGCAGAGAAAAAAATTATAATTTTTCTGCAATATATAGGGTATTATAACTTTACAAGTATGCACATTTATTTATAGAAAATTTATATAATAAAAAATCATGAATTCAATAATGCATAAGCCAAATATTTATGTTGATAATAGCAAATTTATATCAATTATTGATGATGTCAACGTTCTTCAATTATCTCCGAGCCCTTTTTGTACTGCCAAAAATTTGCCCAGGGATGCGTTCAGAAATTATGCCTAGGTAACTCTGGAATGCTTTAGTATGCGCCTCGGATGTTCAGACACTTCAACTTATAATTTATTAGGAACCCAAAGCGTTCAGAAACGATTTAGATCACTCTAAGATCACTCTATCGTCAACTTACTTTTCAGTTGGGTAAAAGTTGCCCCGCATGCGCAATGCGCATTTCATATTATAAAATCATGTGCCTGATGAAAGTAAGATTAAGTTACGTAATTATTGAAAGGTTTTTAGGGCACTACGTTCAATATACAATTGATTTCTAGAATAAATACGATCTCTTTTTCGTGATTGTAATAGCAATTAACTTACTTTCATGCCTTTTCTCAATCTTTATCAGTCACCCAATTGCATCACCCAAGGCGTTCAGAAACTTCTTCGTCTGGATTACTCTGGGGTGCATCCAGAATTTACCTCAACCAATACTTACCAATACCCAGATTTTCTGAACGCACCCCAGGATTGACGGTCTTTAATAGTATCTCGATGGCTTCATACAAGGAGAGTGGAAAATTGCATCACGTGACCCGTCTATTTTGATTGGACATCAAAGCTCCATAAGCATGGAAGAGATTGGAAAAAACTGGTCACGTGATTGAACATCACGTGATGCAATTTGCCACTCTTTCCTCTTGTGAGCTCTCTAGTTATAAAGAGAGAAAGAGAAACGTTACGATTTATCGACAGCGTCACAAAATAGATTTGAGATCCTATAGATGCACGTTTTGTACACAGAGGCGTAGTGAACCTTCTTCCCTTTAAAACATGATTGTGTTTATTCTTTACATTAGTTAAGACTCGTTCAACAAACAAACTTAGCATTTGTGATTGTTTATATTGGTTTATATTGGTTTATGTTGATTTTTATTTTGAAAATGCTCAATGAATGCTTCTTCGAGTAAATTCGAATTATTATCGAATTGATGCTTATCAAGATCTATTAAGAAACTTTTTAGTTTGAGCACTCCTTAATTTTTGCCGGTCTATGATTTAGGTTAGAATTGACCGTTCAATATTGGAAATTTTATTACCGTAAAAAGATACAGAATTATAGAGAATTTAAAAATTATAAACGAACTGTGAAATGATGAGATGTGCAAACTTTGGAAATGGCAAAAAATCACATTCAAGTGCGAAAAGAGGTAGTTATAGTTAATTCCGTTTAATTATTTTAATTATCTTCTTTTTATTGCTATTAAGGTAATAAGTTTTATAATAAGAGTGTATGCCTTACGCATAGGTATAGATAATGTAGCAATGACGACGAGTGACAAGGTAAACAAGAAGAATGATAAGAAGATTGACTCTCCTCAAAGTTGCCAAGAACAATCAACCTCTGGTCACAGCACGCCAGTCATGAAGAAACGAAACACAAAAGCGGATAAAGAAGCCTCTCCGGATTTTGATTATTCTCCAAGCCCGATCTTACCTACATTCACTCAGGAAGGTGGTAATGAGGTTGCATGGGATTGGCAAAGTTCTATGAGCAGGACTCCTGAGAACAGCAGTAAGAAACAGAATGTCCACTGTGAAACTCCAAAGGGTACTAAGTTGCTGCAAAGGAAGAGGATTTCGAACTCGCCTTTGTTGTATAAACCACTCAAGAGAAAAACTATCAAGATGGAAAACATAGAAAACATTGGACAATTTGCAGCTGAGCTACAGGCATTGAACGAAAGAATGAGAGTTATAAAACAAAACGACAATAATCACTCGAATGATTGTGTCGAAAAAAAAGAGGTGCCAACGTTAACGAACATAAGCGACAAGGAAGAAATGTCAAAAGTTCAAGATGACAAGCAGAATAGTGTCGAAAAACACAGTAACGATAACGAAAAGAGAAACGATAGTGTCGAAGAAACAAATGATCATAGCAACACCAATAAAAAGGAAATTAGCGGAACTTATGACGATTTATTTGATGATTCTGTAGATGACGATATAATCAGGTGCACTCAAGAGATAGAGAAGAAATTCAATTTGGAAAGAGGGAATTCTACTCAATTGCAGATCAAAAAAGAAGATTCATGCAAAAATGATGTATTTAATAAGACATCTGTACAGTCTAGTTCCAGTGAGAATTGTAAAAATCAATTAAGAAGTGTTCGCTTATGGGACAATAGTTCATTAAAAACATATTCAAAGTTTTCATTGAAACGAGATGCAAACTCTAGTATACACTCTACAGTGCAGAACAGTAAAGATACGTATAAACTATGTCTAAATAATAATAATACAATACGTTCCTTTGCCAGAAAATCATGTGATAACAAAAAACTGTCAAAAAGTAATACGGTAGACTTATATGATTTTCATAACGATTCTTTTGACGATTGGTTAGCGTCGTGCGTTGAAGAAGAGAAATTACTTCCGAAATCTATATCCTCAACTCATAAAAACGATAGCACGAAAGTCCAAGCCAATTATAAGCATTTGACTAATGCGCCGTTAAAGTCGGAAGTTAAATCCGCTGACTCATTTAAACCTATGACAAAGTCTGAAACGTCTAACGCTAACTATTTACAGAATAGAAAATTCTTTAAAACTAAGAGCTTGTCAGAACAACCTGTTAATCGGGACACAAGTGCTAAAGACTCGCGTGCTTCCGTAAGTACAAAACCGATTGTTACAGATGATTGTAAGGCTGAGAATAAGGCAATTTCGTTAATGCATAGCGTGAATCGAATGCGTGGGTCCGATGTTAACAGGTGCGCGGTAAAAAGCGATGGTAATCATTTCATTAAGCATCATTCTACCGGTAATATGAATAACGATACACGGGAAACGGCGAATAAACCTGGTTCACAACCCATAACACAATGTACTGCGGAAGAGATCGAAAGAAAGAGATTGCAGGCCGTAGCGAGGCTCGAGGCGAGAAGAAAGTTACACTTCACGAAGATTACAAATAATATCAATAGGTGAAACTTCATGTCTTACGTCTATTGTACTTATTATGAGAAAGTGATTTCCTGAGTATAATATCGATAAAACATCGAAACAAATGAATGTTGTACTTCTAACGACAAAAGACCATCTCTCTGTGATCGTCGTTATCATTATCTTATTGTAATCATTGTTATATTGTAGAACGTTTAAAGAAGTTGCGCAAATATATTTATAATTATACGTACAAGTATAATCTGACCTCAGAATACATTTAAATTATATATATATTATATATATA